CTACCATTGCTGGGGAGCAGCCCTTCAGAGTGGCCACCAGGTCTGGTGCTGGTCTCCAGCATGCCCTCCATGCCCACCCCAGTACCGATCGCCACTGGGGCTTGTGAAGTGGGGGAGTTGCAGGAGACAAGGATGCTTAATTACAGAGCAGCCCTGGAAACGAGCAACAGCAGCAGCACTGTGGCCAGGAGGGAAGGCAGCAGGGCTGTAAATAGAAATTGCGGAGGCAGTCGTGGGGAACAGAGTGAGGGAGGCTTCTGCGCCTGCATCACTCCGTCTCCCTTCCTTCCCCTCAGCTTCTCTCACCTCTCCCGGCCACCCTGGCTTCCAGCACGAACTGGTGTGTGACAAGCAGCCCCAAAACATGGCTGGGAGGCTGCAGCTCTGGTGTGTGAGGCCCCAGCAGCCTCCTCCATCAGGGGCCACTTCCTGTGGAAATGCATGAGGAGGGTCAAAGGACCACTTTGGCCAGTGGGGAGACCAAGGCGATGTGGACATGGGGTCAAATCGCCCCATCTGCCTCCCCCAGAGGAGCTGTGGATGCCAGATGTCTGAGCCCCCATCCCACTGGGGCCTGCCCAGGGTGAAGTCCCTCTTGTCCCACCCTGACATCTCCATTATGGCCTCTTCCACAGCAGCAAGAGCCCTGCTTTCAGTATTTTGCAAAGGTTTATTTGAAAGTGTTGAAACTAACATCCCACAAGAATTTAATATTTCACCACGAGGAGAAGAGAAATCCTACAAAAATATATATCACAGCGCACAAGGGCACGGGAGGGGGAGGAGCGAGACTGAGCGGGGAAGCAGGAGTGAGGACGGAGGGGAGGATGGGAGCCACAGCAGAATGAGAACGAATGGCAAATGGAGAACAAGAGTGGAGCGGGGAAAGTGAAACAGCAGGAGGAGAGAGATAACTGGAAGGGAGACTGTGGTACAGGACAGGAGTGGGAAGCGGGAAAACAGTGGGAGAGGGAAAACAACAAGAAAAAAGGAGTGTAGAGAGACAGCAGTCAGCAAAGGAAGGGGACCCCCCTCTATGGTCTTGCCAAGGTAGGGCCAGGACTACAGTGAGGCATCAGCAGGGGTGCAATCGGGGAGCTGGAGTTTGGCCCAGGGTTTTTGTGCTGCAGGACTTGGCTCTAAAGCTGTGCCATAGACATGGTTTGTCAGAGTGAAAAAAAATCCCACAGTTTAATTGAGAACAGTCTGAAGGTGGTTGTGTTTGAGAACTTGTGGGGAATGAACAAACTGCCCCTTTCCAAGCATTTTTCCTTATTGGGAAAGGGAGCGGGGAATGAAAGGACCAGATTTGCAAGGGCACTTAGGTGCCGTTGAGGAAGAGGTAGATAGCCCTCTCTGAAGCTGTGGGATGCTTGGCTGGATGTGAGTCCCTGGAAATTGGCCTGGAGGACCAGTGTGGAAACACACATCAAAGGTCTGCTCCCCTGCCTACCAATCACAACCAACCAGATGGGAAAGCCAGAGCAGGATTTGGCCTTGTGGTCATGCCACTCTGATGGCTAAACAGACGGAGACTCCCATTCCTGTTCCAAAACAATAGAGGGCAGAGGTTCTCCCCTAGACCATCCCTCCTTCCCACTGCACTCACAGAGGGACCTCCCTTGTGTTAACAAAGCCAGGACCCTCCAGGAGCTCAGCAGAGACATGCTTCCTCCAACTCACCCAACCCACCTGGACGTTCCCTTTTAAGTGCACTGAAATGTTGGGCAGGCTCGGCCCAAGGCTACGAACATTTTCAGTCAGTTTCCCCACACACTTTTCTCTCTGTAAAATTTCCACTGGAAAAAATGAATCCAGATCTTTCTCCTCCAGTCACCTAGAAGACAGGGAAACCTGATGGGCTGTGACTGAGAAAGGACTGGCCTCTGCCCTGGCTGGGTACTTGCTGCCATCAACCTGCCCATGTGCGCATTTCACAGAATATCAGCTTGGGCCAGGGAAGAGACTGCAGGCATGCTCTGGATCCAATCTGCACAGGGGAAGGTGATTTATAAGGCTCCAGACATGGTGAAAACAGACCCAGTGAAATTATTTGTTGACTGGAAGAAGGTTGTATGTCCACACATGTTTTAAATGTTCTGTTCCAGGGACAAAATGTAGCAATGCAAGTTTGGGCAGGGCAATGAAGTTGTTTCCCATATCTAACCTGTTTTGTGTGAGAGAGTGAATGACTGTCATAAAAACATATTTGCCTAGAAAAATTGGACTTGGAAAAGATATTCAGCATACCCAAGCTTCTGTCTTTGTATGAGTTTTCTCTACTGCATTCCCCAGCTTCCTCCTTACCACAGTATCCATGAAAGGTTCCACTCCTTGGAGATACTTTTAACAGAAACAGAGACACATTAAAGGGAGGAAAAAAAAAACCCAAAACACTGAAATCTGATTTGTTTGCAGAGATTAAAAAAGCCTGTCCAGCAGAGCACAGGGCTTCCCGCAGCAAGTGTTGGAAAATGTTTTCACTACGCGTCCTGCGGTCCCTGCTGCTTTCTTATAGACCTTCTCTCCACACAGTGTCTGGAAAGGGAAAGTCCAAGGGCAGCCCTTGAAGTGGTAGAGTCTAAACTCTTTGTTTCAGCAAGTGCTATTGATCAAAGCGCAATCTAAGTAATCTGCTCTGGAAGATGATTACTTAAACCAGTTCAAGGCGTTATATTGTAACCTGCAAGCAACAATCAGTGCAGCCTCTTGCAGACTGCGCACAGATGTCCTTCCCCGGTGCTGATGTGCCAGTAAGCGGGGGGAACAGCCCTGAGCTACCCTCAGCTGCCAGGGGCTGTGGTGAGCAGGGCAGCCATCTGCCCCCTTCTCTGTCCCGTCCATCAGGGCCTGAACGCCTTGAACGGAGCCTGAATAAGGAAAAGACTCAATAATAGATCAATCTACGGTAAAGCAATAATATCCCCTGCTATAAATGGAGACGCAACCTGTGCTTAGACTAGAGACCTCCAGAGTCCTTTCCCAACTACATCTTTCAGCCATTCTGTGCTTTTAATAAGCCAGTAATTTTATTTGACCTGTCATTTTCTTCAAATCTCTACTGTTTTTTGTGAAGCTTATTGCAATTTACACTCTCATTTAAATGTCCTTCATGGTGAGTCAGATGGGGACTGAGATCACCTAAGAGTTCAGCTGGGTAAATGGGAAGAACCAGGCCTCTTTATGAAACTCCCTGTGCTTTGTCCTATAAAGAATAGGCTTTTACAGCAGAGATAAAGGATGAAAGGGTTGTTTCCTTTTCTCCAAGATGACTTTTGCCAGAGACCTCGTATGGTGCATTAAGGCCTTCAAATTGTGGGTGATTTTCCTGTCTCTGGCCACATCAGTCAAGCAGCTGAAGGTGTTTGTACAGTATGGGGGCAACCTTACCTAAATATGCATCACTTCAGCTCAGTGGCTGTCAATGTGGGTTCCATAAATTACTTTGAAGGTGTCCACAAAAGCCAAGGGAGAGCAACTATTGTCATTAAGCTGAAATTTGCCATTTCACACTTCCTCAGAGTGACATCTATGGGTCCACACACAGGAAGAGGTTGACATGCACTGATCTTGCAAACACAAGTAACTGATAATGTGGCTGTCTGCCCTACAGATCACCACAGCCCCAAAGTACATGCTTAACCAACCAGTTTGCACCGTCACCATTAGTTTTGGTCCCCAACCAGTGGGGCAATATACGAAGGCTGGCACTCCAGCTATCCCCTCTCTTGTGCCCTTGGTGAGTGTTGCCCTGTGGATCTCCAGTCACCTTAGAGTCCAGGAGAGACCAACCAGCAGTACATGGGCAACCCTCCAAATTTCCTCAAGGTCAACTCTAAATGGCTCTTTGTCATCCAAGGCACACACAGTCATGTCTGCTACTTGTTGCCTGCAGCATGAGTGTCTGAGAGCAATTCCCTTCCTCGGCCCGGCAAAACTCAAGTTCCTCGTGTCCAGCTATATCTGCATGCCATGCTTTAGCTGCTTAGGTAGTATCCCAGTGTGCAGGACAATTGCTAAAAAACATGGTGGCCAGAGGGATTCGCCTCAGTTTTTCTGAAGAACATCACCATAGACTGATGTTCTTCAGAAAAACCTTGTTGAAGGAGACTGAGGCAGTGGAGGGGGACAGTAAGGAGGCTTCCAAGACACCAAAACATTTGGAAAGCTAAAGGAAACTTTTCCAACTTTAACTGTCAAGAGAAGTGGTGGGGCAAACAGCTGAGAGAAAAAAATCAGGGATGGAGAGATGAAGAAAGATACAAGCTGAAGAGAAAAAACAGAGGAGTGTTAGGCAGAAATGGAAACGTGTCTTCCATCTAGGGGCGGGAGGTAATGTTTTCTTCAAGGAAATCGGTTGCTGAGGGGGACCAGGTGCTGTGTGAGCCTCTGCTGCCCAAACTTCACCCACCCTTGGAACCCTCGGGCAGGCCAAGGCCTTGGGAACAGAAGAACCTTCCACCACCTGAGTCCCAGCTCAGGAGAGACCGAGCCCTGGTGGACAATCCTGCACCCACGGAACTCCAGATGTTCACTTCAAAGCACACGACATAGGAAGGGACACACAGAGGGGTTAGGGCCCATGGGGACAGGGGTATGCCTTTCCACCTTGCCTACCCCCAATGTCAGGCATGCACTGGTGCAAGAGTCATGGAGATCCAGGTGTGTGCACGTGTGTCTGCATGTGTGGTAGGAGAGGGGCTGGGGAGGCCAAGACTTCACACTACCACCAGCTGTCTTCCCTCCCACCATCCTGCTCTCTCATCACCCTGTTATGCATGGGCGGGGGGAGTCCCCAGCCTTCCCCCAGCGGGAGGCTAAGGAGGCCCAGCTCATCCGTTTGCCCAGGCGTGTCCTGGTGGAGTTAGTTAATAATGGTGGTGGTGGGCCATGGCACAAAGAGGTCAATTTTTTCCTGGGGTAGCAGAGGCGGCGGGAGTCTGCGCTCGCCGGCTGTCACAGGAGAGTGGGGAGAGCCAGCTCTGCTTCTCCCATGAGCATCACAGGTTCACCAGTGGGATTCTGGGGGGGAAAAGGGAATTAGACATTAATTAGTGATGAGTACTTAGACTGCCCCACTGCCCCTGCTGCACAACCGTCAGCTTTGCTCTGCCTCAGCCTGCCTGTTCCCCTGTCCCCTGCCATCCCCTTCTGTCCCAGCTCACCAGCCA